ATCACCAAAAAAACTTCTAAGAAGGGCTGCTGTGCCTTCCCACTCCCTCCCTTACAAATGGCAGCTGGTGTAATAAAAGATACTATGTGTCCTGCGGATATCTCCTGAAAGAGAAGTGTTTGGGAAACACAGAGGTTTTTTTTCTAAGATATGCTCCAGGCAAAAAGGTTCAATGAAAACTGACAGTAATCACAGAAACAACATTATAGAAATTCAGCCTGCAAGCGCTGGTGCCCAAAGTGAAGCTAGACATCGTGAAATTTATCTCAGTACACTGAAGCAAACTCAAACTGCTACCTACCATCTCTGAGACTTCATAGAGGTCAAAGGAGGTTCTAGAAGGACCTCAGTGGTTCTCTGCCAAACTCGGAGAAAGTAAGTAATTCGTCCGTGGGGGTCAGTCCTGTATCTAATACCGTCCAACACTTAAGTAACTCAGATGATACAACAGAGAAAACTTTTATTAAATCTGCAACTTATACAAAGCCTGAAAAAAGTGTAGCATGGTAGAGGACAGGATTAGAATTCAAAATTACTTGGACAAATTGGAAAACCACTTGGAAATAAATAAGAAAGATTCCATTAAAGAGAAGTGCAAAGTCATATAGCTAATGGGAATAATCAACTGCAGAAATACAAGATCAGAATTAACTGGGTGCATTGCAGTTCTGCAGAAACTCAATGATGTAATAGATCACAAACTGCAGACAGTATCAGCGTTATAAACAAAAGCAAACTTAATAGTGGGATGCAATACAAGGAGCAAAATATCTAAGGCACATGGAAGATATCTAGCTTGTTTGAATACTACAAGACAAGAGAAAGTTAGATCAATTGGATTGCAAAGGAAAAGAGAGTTGGAAGATAAAATTCCAATATCAGAGAGCTGGAAGATAAAATTTATCAGGGTAGTCAGTTATACTCAGTCTGGAGACTAAGGGAAGACAGATACATAGTTGCCAAATATGCAAAAAGTTATTACGAACTCTAAGGAAACACCTATTCTGCATATTTACTCTGGATGGGTAAGTACTGACCAGAAGAATTCAGGAACAGAGATTTAAGTTATATGCTAGGAAAAAACAAAACAAAAAAAACCCCACAAAACCCAAAACATCTTACAATAGGTTTGAGCAAGCACAGACATAGATGTATGAGACCTGCCATCAGAAATTTAAGATTATATTATGTGAAGGCAGTGGCTCCCAAACTTTTTCAGCCAGAGGACCACTGCCAATCAGATTTCAAATCTTGCTGATAACTACTGAAACTGAAAAGGCAAGTCAGTATATACTGCTAGCATACCATTGAACATTTGGTTAGAAAAACATCTGGGAGGAATGGTTCTGGTAGACATTGATCCTGCCTGGCACAAGGGAATACACTATATAAGTGTTCCTCTATCTTTTAAATTTAAAGACCACCTGGCGCATTAAAAAGGAACCCATGAATCACTGTATTTCCTGATGTTCTTCAGGGCAGATGGGGCAAAAAAATAAAGTAATAACTGCTGCTTATCACTTCCTAAACCGGCAGAAATAGATTTAAAGAAAAAAGTAATCTGAAACATATTAACATACTGACAGAGCAATGAACATGACTCATAACCAAAGCATCGCTGTTTGGACATTTTAGAGGTATTTCAGTAATTTCTTACAGTTTCAATATGTTAAGATAATAAACATGAAAAATAATTGCATAAATGAGTCATCTTTGCCTATCAGGCATTTTTCTGGTGAGCTCTATTCTAAAGAGTTATTTCTGTTAAAAAAAAAAAAAAAAGATGCATTAGCACTTAGCCTGAAGGATTCAACAGAAGGACCATTTTAATTATGTCTTCTTTTAGAAAAAGTTTTTATTAACAATCTGCTACGAATAAGAATTTCCCATTTGTCACTGGCACTATGTCAAACTCGCTTAGTTTTCCAATAGGTGTATTCATAGGTCATGCGTATACCTGAGAATCAAGCAATATTCTTTCAGCGTACAGGTCGCTCCCCTACACAATGAGTGCAACAACTACCAGACTTGGTGATTTAAGCTCCAAGTGTAATAAGAGGAAGCATTGGATACTTCACACCCCAGAAAAAATGACATTAAAACATTTTGTAATTGACAGTTAGGAAAGAATTCCTTTGATTTTTTTCCACTTCATTAATTAAAACCATTCACTTTTATCCCAACTTGATATAAACTTACTGACCTCTTAGTCTTCAAGTCATAATTCAAATGTGAACGTATGGGAATGAGTAGGCAAGCACTATCATGGGAGCATGTCACCAGAAACATTTTAAAGGCAAGCAGCTAGGGCAGTAGCTTAGCAGCATCCTATACTTCGGTAGCACTGCATGTCATCTAATGTGCATGTGGGGAAGAAGGGGAGGTCAACTCCTTAAGATGACCTAGCCAGAGCTAGGCAGAGATTTATACTAGCTCATTTGGTAACAAATCTAATTATACATTCTGTTTAACTATCTGGACTGAATTCACAAAAGCACCCTGAGCCAAGGCTCCAAACTTAGTAAGAGAGAAACAGACTTTGTGCACAGATGAGAAATTCCCACATCTCCTTGACAACAGGGCACACAGTCATTGGGACACAATACCAAACACCTCTACATTAGTTGTGGAGATAAGGAGGGAGGACGGACAGTTTCTCATTCTAGGACAAAATACATAGTGTATACAGAGCAGAGGATGTAAAATAAAAAAAAGCACCTAAGCCTATATTAAATGTAGCTGAAGCAACTAGAATTCTCTGCTCATACAGATACTCCTGTAAGATAACTGACTGAAGTTTTTTCCTTGCTGAACACTTACTTTTTTGTTGAAAGAGAGCAAACATAACTCTTAGAATAATCGCAGCAGGAAGCAGTACGTTATAAACGCCAACCTGTAAACTTACTTTTTTTCCCTCCATCTCTCTGCTTCGCTGAATATAACGGCATTCCCTGAAAAGACTCCAACTCCGAACCTCTACAGTGTTAATTTTTATTTGAATAAACTATCACTGACCTCAATCACTCAAAAATGTCATATTAGTCAACATGTTTGCTCAGCACTCTCTTTCTACTTGACCTATAGTGATACAAGTTCACACCAGACAGAAATACGGTGTATCTCCACTGAAATAAGAGGAGTGGCTCCTGCTTATATTTATTTAATATCTAGAATCATCTTCACAAAACCATAAAAAGTCTGATGAAAAATGTCACCAAAATACTGCCATGGACAAACTAAGCACTACTTGAAATTAAGAAACGAGAAATTATTAAAATTCCTGAAAATTGAAATCAGCAACACTTCCAATCAACTCTTTCTACAGTTTATTTTAAGCTTAACTTTAATTTTTGCACTTCTTACTTTCTCCTGCTAATACTTAACTCTTAGTGCAAGAAGGCACTTGGGTGTTTTATTGCCAAAAAGTATCATTCTTACACAACAGAGAAGACAGACTTACAAATGAAAGGGCCTCCACACCAAATAAACAGAAGTAATGGAAAATAAGTAAGTTTCCTTTTTCCTCCTCATGTCAAATAAACAGTACATTCAGTTCCATAATCTGGGTTGGGCTGCCTTCCCTCCTCCTCTCTTTGTACAGGCTTAGGTGAAAAGCTTTTGAGACATATTTCCCAAGTACATGAATTTCACATTGGAACTGATCCAATTAAAACAGGAAGCCATTTGTAATATTTCTTTAGGTATCCCATAAATTCCAACCTCAGCTGTAACTGACTTACCTTTTCCACAGTCTGAAAGTACTAGGCTTTTTAATGAAGAGAGGCAAGAAAATGAACAACTACTAAAGGACTTGAATTCTAACCAGCCTCACAGAACCACTACAAGACTATTTCATTTTTGTGTCTGGAAAGGTGGCATGTGACACATGTAATGAAAAATAAAATTGCTGCAAAAAATAAAGAAAAATGGAAAGTGGCCAGAAGTTGCCCACAGTTTAAAAAAAGAAAAAAAAAAAAAAAAAAGACACCGGGAAAGAGATATTATTCAAAGTAATTTCCAAGAAAGAATGTGGAACAGATGCCTCTGGTTGAGAAGGTCTAAAACAATATTCTGCTCCTCTATCTCACTACTCTTCCAACAGTTTCTGAGAAAAAGTATTTATTAACATGCTTGCTAAGTAATGCAGACACAGAATTAAAGTGGCTATACTAAAAAACAAAACACTTCCTCTTACCCACAGCACAAAGAGAACAGTGACGATGCTATGGTGCTATTCTACACACAAAACAGTTTAATTCCTTCCTACACAGTGTCTTTTGAAAACGGACATAAATTTGAAAGGATATCAGATTTCATCTTACAATTTTTTTAATTTATTCACTAACTATAGATATTTTTGATTTGAAGAGAATAAAACATTAGAATTTAAATCATATATCCATTTTACTCCAGCAATACAAGGCATGGGCTGGGACAAATCTCAAACTTTATAAAGAATAACAATTTAATACTTTATAAACCGTATGCATATTTCTTTTCACTAGCTTTGAACCAAATCCATAATATTCTTTTTCTAAACTTTATATAAAAACTGTGAGCTAAAACTAAAAATTCTTAGAAGAACAATAACTTTTGCCCAGAGTTTTCTCCCTCTTTTTACGCCAATATGGACATCTTGTTTCAGTTGTTCTGAAAAAAATGGAAAACACAAGCAGCTCACTAGCTCAGGCTTTCAAAAAAAAAAAAAAATTCTGACAGGTCTGTAAGAACTGCAGGAAATTCCTTTGACAAGAGGAGAAAGAATGTCAATACTAGCAGAAAACCCCATTAAGTTATCTGTACCAAGGGGATGTTAAAGAAGAGATTAATTGAAAGAAGA